GCAAGTGTTTCAGAAGTGCTCTCTACCTGTTTAACATGACCTGGCAGATCACATAGTATTACTGAAAGGTCAAGATTACTTGAATTCATCCTCACCGCTGCTCTGTCTCTATACTTTCTCACTCTGTGAATGTTGACTGCAGCTCCTGAGGTGCTCGCTCAGAAGCCATACAGTAAAGCAGTGGATTGCTGGTCCATAGGAGTAATTTCTTATATTCTGTAAGTCACAGTTTATTTATCCCTGAGAAGTATAGAGAGCGTTTGGAGGGGGTTTCTTGCATTAAATAAAATCCAATGTCGTTTCTACAGCTTATGTGGCTATCCTCCGTTTTACGATGAGAATGACGCCAAGTTGTTTGAGCAGATTCTGAAAGCAGAATATGAATTTGACTCTCCATACTGGGATGACATCTCAGATTCAGGTAACCATGAAATGTCTACTACAAATACAGATTAAAAAAATACATAAATAGCAACAAATGAGATTATTATTTGTACATGAACTTAAATTTCGTTGGCAGCCAAAGACTTCATCTGTCACCTGATGGAAAAAGACCCTTTGAAAAGATACACATGTGAGCAGGCGCTCCAGCATCCATGGTAGGAAAGCTAAAATACTGGATCTATATGTAGCTGCTATAATGTCATAAGCAGCAGTCTGAAAATGTTTTCAAGTTTTTATTTATATATTTGTTATATTTTATTTTTTAAATTTTTCTGGTTTCTCAGGGGTGACATTTCGGCTTCTTTAATATCGCAAGATACAACAATCAATCAGTTATTGACTGCAATATTGTTTATTGTTTTTTCTTACTGTCAGTGTGCATATAACTGATTGCTTTAGCTGACTCATCTCTTTGATTGTGCATTGTCAGATGTTTGGGAAAAGCCCAAAGAAACATTTCTACATTGCAGATCAGCAGATCAGTGTTCTACAGATTGGCTTATGCTTCAGTGAAGTAATGCTTAGCCATGAATGATGCTAATTGTTTACAATATGATGTCTCAGTCATGTGCCTAAAATTCCTGTAATTTCTCCAATTCTTGGTGACTTTCAGGATATGTGGTGACACAGCTCTGGATAAGAATATCCACGAATCTGTCAGCGCACAAATCAAGAAGAACTTTGCCAAAAGTAAATGGAAGGTCAGTTCCTCGGCTGAATCACGCAGCACCCTGTGGGAAGAGGTGTATTAAGATTGCCAGGAGTTTCATTTTGTACGGCTTAACTGTTTTCCTCCTTCAGTAGCTGTCAGACACAGAAGGTTCTTACTATTTTTTTTCCCCTTCCACTCTTCCCTCTCTCCATGTAGCAAGCATTTAATGCCACAGCAGTGGTGCGCCACATGCGGAAGTTGCAGCTGGGCACTAGTCTCGAGGGACCCAGTCAGATTACTCCCACCAGCCCCTGCCATGGACATCTGCTCCCAGAGGAAGAGGAGGAGGAGGATGACGATTTGGGGAATGGCGAGGAGGAGAGCTGTAAGTTAGCAGTTCACAGTGAATGAACATATGGAAATTCAATTTTTTCCCAGGAAAATTTAGGTGATTCAAGGTGTATGTTTTTAGAAATTGTGTGAATTTTCATGTCAAAGGAGATGAGTTTAACATGTATATAATAATATCATAGTTACTGTAATTATCAGCTGCAATTAAACCAAAAACAAACTATTTTATTTTAGACAAAATTTCTTCCTTATTTAGGATAGCCCTAAAATGTAAGTTCACAATAATTTATGATGTTTGCGGTAAGGTTTTCAGTCATACAACCACACTGATTTGTCATGAGATGTGAATCTGGTACAATTGGAAATCTTGCCTATTTCTATCATCAGCCCAATATGATGTGGGTGTAGAATTAGGAAGAGGAGCTAGCTGGATTAGGCCAATTTACACTTACTTTGAACAGACAGACTCAAGCTCTTACACCAACCATGGATAATCTCAGACCCCAGAATAATCCGTGCTCTGCTCTAACATCCAGTGTCTAACTACGAGGATGGCCGTCGTGGAAGCAATGAGGGCAGCACGGATCGGGACAGCCTGAGAAGCTGCACCTACTGCTGCAGGCCAACTAGTCGGATCTGAGCACAACCTAATAGTGTTGTCATGTCACATCGAATCCCTGGAGCGCCCAGAGCCCGCCGACCCGCTGACCCGCCGACCCGCCCAGTCTGGCCAGGAATGCAGAGCAGCTATCAGGCACGGTCTACCAGAGTACATCCACAGCCAGCAGGTCACTGTTACAGTGCAGACAAAACATACATTTCCTTTGCCTGGGAAAAAAAAGAAAAAGAAAAGATAAATAATAATTTTTAAAAAAGAAAAAACTTCATGAGTGAAGATTTACAAGTTTTAACTGCATTGCATTAATGGTAAACAAAGCTGCTTCAAGTAGGCATGGCTCTTTTAAAGGATCTTGCAATATGTTGGTCCAGAAACCCTCCGCCAATACTCCTCCACCACCACCATTAAAGCACGCTGCTGAAAAAATCTAGGTGAATGTGGCCATTGACATTTTGCTAGTACTATAAGTGGTTGGCTTCAGGAAGGGCCTAGAGTTTTAATCTGTGATGAGATAAAGGTATTCTCTTTGATTACGTATCTCTTATATTATCTGTCATCTGCAGTACCTCTAATCGCAGTTACAATGGGCGTCCATCTGGACCACATGCTAGACATTTCTCGCAGCCTTCTCCAAAAATCTGGCCAGACAGGGGGGAAAAAAGCTAATGAAAAGAGTACTGAAAGCTCCTTCTGCATGTCTTTATACTCTTCACCCATCAATATGACTCAGTCTAGTCATCGACCAAGTAGCTGTTTAGTTAAATCTCAAGCTGTGTCTTCACTGCTGATTTCACCTGCCTATCTATTTCTGTTTGGTTAACCCCTTTTTCCCCCTCACATTGTCACTATTTAGTGTTTCTGTCTTTAAAAAAAAATAAGTATTCACTTCTTTTGTTTAAAGCCTATTTGCAAAGGAGATAATTGAAAGTGAAGGGTGATTCTGGGGTTCTGGACTCTATTCTGGCTCAGACTGGGTTTGTGAAGGGTCATTCTGACCTGAAGTGTCTGCATGCTTTTTGTTAGGGAAAACACTGAAATGTACGAATATCAAAAGGAGACTTCTTTGTTTTTTTTTTCTTTGTTTGTTTGTTTGTTTTATGGCTGTTCTGTTATCTGAGGCTCAAACTGAGATCCCCAAAAGTCTGGAAATCACAGTAATCTCACCTTCCTCCATTGGCATTCGTCATGTTAGAAAAAGCATACAGAGAATCCACAACAAGTGGGAAGAAAACAAACATAACCATATCATGTTCATCCTCCCTGTTTTGTTTCTGACAAAGTGTCTAAATGTCCGCCGGCTGTCAGTCTCGAGGTCTGGCTCCAGAGGGATCTCAGTCTGCGCGCTCCGCCTGCTTTGTGCTGTGCACCTCTAGTGGAAGAAGTTTTGGTCTACTGTTTGCATGACCTGGTTCAATATGTTTACATGAATGATGATCAATTAGTATAAACACACATGATTATTATTACTCTGTTGTACTGAAAAAAAAAAAGATGTAATACTGTAATTTTGAGATATATAATGTGAAGTGAGTAACACCAGAAGTAATGTTGTTAACAGAATACAACACAGCACAGTGGACTTATCATTTGCATTGACTGTGATGGTCAAGTCTCTACCTGAGTGACAATTCTCCTGTACTATGTTTATTTCCATCTGGACTCTCTTTTAATCGTTCTGGGTTTTTTTTGCTTTTATTACTTATGTTGAATCTCTCCAACAAATAATTACTAGCTGATATCTAGACAGTGATAGGGGAAAAAACACATCAGTGCCATTGTGTGCATCACCTGTCTGCCAGTGTACAAGCTTTGTTCCTCCAGAGCAAAAGGCCCAAAATACTAAAGCCATACAGGGAAATTGGAATGCTTTACTAAAGATACAGATCAAGCATGTCATCATTTTTTAAATGTATGACTCAGGTGAAGGACGGCCTTCGAGAGATTTAAAACAGAAAAGGAGTGTGACAAAGCATTTTCCCTCCAACAGCTTGCTAGAATTACTTAAATCCTGACACTTGTGTTGTGTTACATTAGTACGCAAGCAGTCCACTTTAGTTGAATTTAAACCTGTTTATTTCCCCCACTCGTATTATTATTTCCCCTCATTTTGTTATTGATACATATAGTACAGTAAAAGAAGGCTATCACTCTGGATTTACATGACTGTAATTGTGGAAAATATGCAAACTGTGTTTGAAGGGCTTAATGTTAACTGTAAGATAGCCAGTGTTGATGACTTTGAGAAACTGGCTATTATATGTTTGGTAATGACCTTCTGTTCAACCTTTCCTGGGATTTGTTTCCACTTGGCTGTGTTTTTTAAAGCTTATATTACCCATTACAAACACATCTAAATTCATAAAGAAACACGTGTATATTATATATATAAATATAAATATAAGTATATATTGTATATCCTTTTTTGTAAAAGCTGTTTTGAGCTACAAATGTATGGATGCAATGCATCATGGGTTATTGAACAAGATGTAAGAAAATAAGATTTGTACCCACAGAGATATGATTGCTGAAACTGAAATAAAACTTCCTTGTCTATGCATTGTGTGTTCTGTCATAATATAATAACCAGGTTTCTGAAAGATTTCAGGTGAAACTGTAGAAATGTAAAGTGTGCTGATTCCAAATAGTCTGCAAAAGGCAATGCATTCACTTTTTTAAATGCGGTGCTTCTTAACTCGCCAATCTCAATACTACAAAATTACAACTTTTAAAATAACCACGATCAAATTCGTTTGATTAAAAAGTATTTAAAGTATATTTCATATCTACAGATCTAGAGTAATTGTCAGTGGTAACATTAATCACAAATGTACATGTTTGCTCGTCTAGTATACAGTATGTATGGTATGAGGTTCTTCTTTCAGATAATAATATGAATGTCAAAAATTCTGCACACAGTAAGAATGTAGATAGAAAGCATGTAAAAAATGTTTTATTATGGATTAAATGGACAAAATAAACACCTAATAAATTGTGCTGCTGGAGAAAAAAGAATCAACAATGTCTGTATACAATACAATTTTTTATAGTTTTCTTTTTTTACTGAACGTTTTGCTCTAAGTCACATTTAACCAAAGTATTGAGAAGAAAAACAAAAACACAAAAGACACTATTCACAGTGATGACGTGTCTCCACTTGACCAGAAGGTGTCGCCTCGATCATGAGCATTGAGCTGTATTATCTATCTATTCTATTTATAGCAGAAGAATCCTTCACCAGGTCAGTTATTCCCAACAGTCAATTGCACCGACTGTGAATACAAAACACACACGTAGTTATAAAACGGTCACACTTCTTTTGCCCTTGTACAGGGCACTGCAGTCTTCCTCAGTCTCTCTTTGACTTGGATGAACTCTGGTTCTTCTTGTTTAACTTTCTGATCTTTTTCCAGCTGTGGAGAAAAGAGAAAACAACTTAGAAATGACACAAATCATATAAACTGTAGTGAATTACCTAAATACATTCATGGAATTAAGCTTAAGTACATTTAACTGAGTGCAGACATAATGTACACAGTGTATGTGCTCTCATTGTTTCCTTCTTATGCATGAATTTAGTAGAATTCAGAGGCGAAGCCTTTACTCAGTATGTTGACTTTACACAATTACATTTATTTGACAGGCAGAGATTCTATATATTTTACAGATTTCATGAACTGTACTGAAAAATAACCTCCATCTCTTCTGGCTGAAAGAATTACATTTACACATTTAAAAGTGCCTCGTTATTGTAACACCAAGACTATAATACACCCACTGTGTCTATTTCTTTTTTCTTATTTTCCTTTTGCAACTGAGTCCTTTGTTTAAACCTTTTGCAGGATCTTTTATTTGTGACAAAATATTTAAAAAAGGTCATATTGATATTTATATTGCATAACATTGCATAGATATGACATATTTGAAATCATCAGTGATTACTGATTCACTGTTAGGCCATGTAGCTAGAAGCTAATGCTAAACAAAGGTAAACTGTCCAGCAGAGAAACAGATTTGTTGCGCTATTGGACTCCAGAGTGGACTAGACTGCCCTCAACTGGCTGTATGCAGAACAACTTAATGTTCTGTTTCTTTATATTTCCATGATTACAGAAAACATTATTGTTAGGTACACCTTGCTAGTAGTGGGTTGGACCCTCTTTTGCCTTCTGAACTACCTTAGTCCATCATGGCACAGACTCAACAAGGTGCTGTAAACATTCCTCAGAGATTTGGCTTCCTATTGACATGATAGCATCACACAGTGGCTGCAGATTTGTCACATCCATGATATGACTTTTTCCATTCCACCACATCCCAAAGGTGCTATATTGGACTGAGATATGGTGACTGTGGAGGTCATTTGAGTACAGTGAAGTCGATGTCAATGTTCAAGAAACCAGTTTGTGATGATTTGAGTTTTATGACATGGTGTGTTATCCTGTTGGAATTAGGGCATCAGAAGATGAGCACACTGTGGTCATAAAAGAATGATTATGGTCAGTAACAGCACTCAGATAGTCTGTGTTGCTTAAATGATGCTCAAAGTGTGCCGAGAAAATCATCTGCACTCCATTACACCACCATCAGCGGGCTGAATCATTGATACAAGGCAGGATGGATCCCTGCTATCATGTTGTTTATGCCAAATCTGACCCTATGACCAAAATGTTGTAGCAGAAACCAAGATTTTCTGTTGAGTACATGGAAATTGTAGCCTCAGTTTCCTGTTCTTTGCTTGATAGGAGTGGCACCCACCATGGTCTTCTGCTGCTGAAGCCCACCTGCTCCAAGGTTTGATGCATTCAGTTATGCTCTTCTCCATACCTTGGTTGTTTGAGTAACTGTTGCCCACTCTAAGCTCGAAGCAGTCCACCCATTCTCCCCTGACCTCTCTTTTTCATTCTCTGCAAACCTTAGAGTTGTGCAAGAACATCTGAGCAGATTAGCAGTTTCTGAAATACTCAGACCACTCTGCCTGGCACCACCCACCACACCACATTCAACGTCACTTGAATCAGCCTTCTTCCCTGTGCTGATGCACGTCATCAGGTTGTCTTGATATCTACATGCCTAAATGTACTGAGTAGCTGCAATAAGAAGGTGTACCTAACAAAGTAGCTGGTGAGTGTGATATACCTGTGTATGTGTACCTGTTTAGACATCTTTGTGAGGACCAAAAATTGGAGTGTTGCCATAGTTGTGGGGACCAACAATAACGTGAGGACAAAAGTGGCTGTCCTCACAAGGTTGAAGCCATTTTTGAGACTCAAAATGTGGTTTTAGTGTCAGGGTTACAATTAGGTTATGTTTAGCTTTAGGCTAAGGGTTAGGTTTAGGCATTCATTTTTGATGGTTAGGGTTAGGGTAAGTGGCAGCTAGGGAGAGCATTATGTCAATGGGATGTCCCCACGAGGATAGCAAAGCAGACATGCTTGTGTGTGTGTATGTGTAACAAGAATATTCATGAGTAAATGTATAAAAGAAAAAATGCTGTGTGTCCTGTGCTCACATTTTCAAGCCTCTGTTGTCTTTTCAGCAGCTCTTGGTGTAGCTCTGATGTCTTCTTCTTTGCCTCCTCTTGATCCCTGCTCGCTTTCAATCTTTGTTCCCATTTCCTTTTTTCCAGAACTCGCTGGAGTTCAGTCTTTCCTTCTTGAGACACTCTCTTCCTTTCAGGCACACAGACACACTTAATGGTTTATGCACGCAATGACACTGGAGTATGAGCATTTCTGACCTTTAATCTCTCTGCCCAACCTCTTGTGGGTCATCTGCAGTTCCTTATGCAGCTCCCGGTGGCTCTCCAGGGCAGTTATCGCACTAGTAGCTTTTAGGGGTCTGATTAGATTACTGCTCTCCTCCTCATTCTGCATTTGGGATGGAAAAGCCTGAAGCTCTGAAAATCGGCCTTCAAGTTTGGTTTGATGAGTCTGCATCATGGAGGCTAAAGGGAACAAACAGTTTACATAAATATGTTTTCCTATCAAGATGATTTCTGGGTGGAATTCTGCCTCAGATTTGTAAGATTCAGTTTTACATACCAAACTCACTCTAAGGTTTGCCAGACACATTTACAACAAGCTTTAATGAGGTAAAAATGTTTTACTGTTAAAACAACAAATTTATAATCTATATATTACAACAGTATTTCAACTAGACAGGATATACAACATCACTCTGATATTTCCTCACCATACAAATGAAACTGTGTCTCATCTCTACCTGGAAAATGCTGAAGATCTCTCTGTCAACAGAAAAAGGTGGGGGGGAAAGGAAATAATACATCCTAGAGATACCAACATCCCCCAGACAAATATTGCTGTTTTATAGATACGTACATGCAAAAATAAAAGCAGCACAGAGAAAAGGAAACAAATAGAAATCTCCAAGTCGAGTCAACACTGCATCTTATTGGAAATAGCACAAACACAAAGCTGCATTATGATGCTGACAGACAAATGAAGTGTCAGCTCCTTACACATGTCCAGTGAAGCGAGAACCCTTACTGTTGAGGTGGAAGGCTGCCACCTCATTAATGACAGGATCAAACAAAACACAGTTAATTCCCACTGAGTTATTTGCTTGCTGGAATTTAAGCAGAATTAATAGCTGGGACAAGAATCATTATCCTCTGTGAATCAGTCTGGACAGCTGAATAAACAGTTCTTTCAGCTCTGAACTGTTTTTGTTGCTTACTGAAGTATTTCATAAATATGCAGGAAAAGCATGCATGGTAGCATAAAACCTTTTTTGTTTGAAAACTGTCTGCTACTTCGGAGCTTTCCAGCTTGCCATAGTGACATTTGAGCTACATTTAAACAGGCAAAAAAAAAAAGAATTTGAATGCTCAATGTGATCAAATTCCAGCAACAATATCCAAATAAATGGAAAAAATACAAGATGACAGTAAATTGTCAGAATGAGAGGGAATCTAGATGAGGAATGAATACATTTTAATGACAAATTGCTGCTAGCCACTGTTTTTTTCAGGGGGGGGGGTCTTGTTTTGTAAAGCTCACACAGTGGATATTGTAGGGAGAAGAATTAATAGGACATGACAGGATAAACAGTCTCCAAGGGCAGCTTCTCAGAGTGCATTTTTCAGAGTGCATTTTTTCAGTTGGATATAAAAACCAATATTTGTTTAAGCATTCACTGCCTTTGAGCAATGGGTAACAAAAACGAGAGATGTCAGTAAGAGAAAAATCTGCCACAGGAAAAATGGTACTGTAGGACAAAAGCTGTGAGCACTTCATGTCAAGCTCAGTAATAACACAATGATACCAAAGTACAGTGACGAGGTAATAACTAAGCAAAACAAAGTTATAACCAGGTAATAGCAAAGTATATATCGAGTATTACAGACGGAACTTTATTTTAAAAGCAAAAGGAAAACCAATTTAAGGATAGCAGTAAAGTTATACTTTGGTAAATATAAATAACTTACAGTATTGTAAGTGACAGGTTGTGTCACTTACAACATTTGAATTCTGAAAATACCACTTACACACACAAACACACACACACACATGCACGCGCGCACACCTCCTGATGCTCCCAAAGTACTTTAAATGAAAATTAGGACGATAACGACAAACTTACCTTCTTCCCATGAGTGACTCCCATGTCTTCAGAGTGAGTCCAGATTTGGTGCTTGCACAGATTCCGTTAGTTCACACTTTACGGGGTTTCAGCAATAATTTGAGGTTACCCCCTCTCTCTCTGCTCCAGCAGCCAAGAATGCCACAGAGGGAGGAAAGTGCCCTGTGTTTGGACCAGAGGGAAGCCTCTACCGAGAAAAGCTCCTGTTGAGCAGACTAAAGGTGTTCAGCAAAAAAAGCCAAAACATTTAACTCTATACCTACTCATTAAGTGCTGTATTTAAGTAAATTTGTATACACGCATTTTATTGGACTGTTTATTTTAAAGCACTGCCATAGGCCGGCTAAATGGATGAATGGATGGCTGGATGGATTTAGCTAAAAAGATTTAAGATTTTAAATTAACCACACAAGGCTCGGGGAAAAGTCTATAAAATTACAAGAGAACAGAACTACTTCTTCTCTGTCCCATTAATCATTTTCTAATCTGTCACATTTAAACTTGTGACCCCCTTACAGGAGCCGTCGCTGTATGCTTTGAACCACTGGACCAAAGTAATTAGTCTAGTGGTAAAGCAGCTTTGTTGTAAAGGAACAAAAGTGTTTCAAGGCCATTAGTAAGAGATATGTGCACAGTACTCAGTAACTTGACTTCTACTATTTGAACATTTACTATACAGCCCACAATCACTAATCTATACTTGGAGCTTTCATTAAGATAAAAATATCAAGGAATATCAACGGGGGAAGAAATACTAATCCTTGAAGGATTGGACTGGCAGGCCATTATAGTACAGTGAACTTACTGTCAAGGTCAAAAAACCATGACAGTGAGTTCTGAGCTTTGTGACATGGTGCGTTATTCTGCTGGAAGCAGCCATCAGAAGATGGAGGCACCGCGGTCATAAAGGGATGGACACGGTCGACAATTCTTAGGTGGGCTGTGGTGTTTAAGGAGCCCAAAGTGTGACAACAAAATAAACACCATTACACCAGCAGCAGCCTGAGCCACTGAAACAAGACAGGATGGACCCATGCTTTCATGTTATTTAGGTCAAATTCTCACGCTCCCATCTGCAGGTTTCAGCAGAAATTGATACTCATGCATAGTATTACATAAGCAAACTGCAGCTTCAGTTTCCAGGTCTTAGTTGACAGCAGCTGGTGTGGTCTTCTTCTGCTGCTGCAGCCCATCTGTTTCTGGATTCAATGCACTGTGTATTTTTGTGCATATCTTGACTATAATGGATGGTTATTTGAGCTCCTATCACCTCAAAGCAGTTTGGCCATTCATAATTTTTCTTTTTTGGAGCATTCTCTGGAAACCCTAGAGATGGTTGTGTGGGAAAATCCCAGTAGATCAGCAGTTTCTGAAATAGACCAACAACCATGCCATCTTCAAAGTCACGTAATCATCTTTCCTCGCCGATGATCCACAGGTGATCTCTACCATGTGATGTAGGGAAAATATTAATATGTGCTTTTGCTGAAATTATAGACAGGTATGTTTTGCCATTAAAAAAAATGCAGTCACTTTTTACAGTTCATGTTAATTAATGTTTATGTAAGTCAGTCAGTCAGTCGCTGAAGACTCTTGGGAAACAGCCGCCCACCTCCACCATCTCTGGCCATCCTCCATAAATGTTGTTTTTTTCATCATTAACAGCTTGCTGACAGATGAACAGAGGAGAAGAGAACGGTTGTTTTTATCATTTTTCCCCTTCCAGGCAGCAGATTTTAAAATAGATGGTCTTTTCTGACACAAATAGAACAAATGAAACTGCACTTAACAGGTTCACTAACCTTCTCAAAGAGGCTTTTGATTTTTGTGCCTGCTCTTCCAGCAAACACCCAGCTGTCTCTGCGCTTCACAGACCTGATCAAAGTGCTTCCCATTTCACTGAATATCTCCCTCATTTCATTTGTCATTCTGCCACAAAGTAGTAGAGCGGGTCACATTTTGTGACATTAAATTTGTTTTAAATGTTGAATAACTTAGATATGGACTTACTTTTGTGTGACATCATCAAAGGAGGCCACCAAAACGATCATTCCACGTTTTATCTTCTTCAGGTGTGCAAGGATGTCTTTTGGGTCTTTTGTCAGAGTATAAAATTGAAAAAAAAAAAAAAAAAAAAAAAAGTCAAAGCTCCCTTACAAGATTAAATCAAAAACTTGATTAGAAGATTTAAAGAAAGAAAAGCGCTTACCTCCTGTTTTCATGTTAAGACAGACAGATTTTTCTACAACTCCAGTTTCACCTATGATTAAAAAATTGCATTGATCAAAATAATTATAATAATAACAGACAGAAGAATATTATGCATGCAGTTCTGCACAAAATCTAGAGTCACAATGCAATTCTTCCTATTTTGCAAGGAAGAATGGAAATAGATGCAGTGATGTGTTGAGTTCTGTGAAAAAAAACAGATGGCCAGTCCATGACTGATAGTGTTTTTCTATCCAGGTATGCTTTTTATGTATCGCCAGTGTGTTTGGGATCATTGTCACTGTGGGACACTTTTCAGACAGTATTGCGCAGTAGATCGCTTTTTTTCTGGGTTAAGAATTCCACAAATCTTGACATGATCTCTCCAACGCCATTGACCGAAACGCAGCTCCAAATCAAAACAGAGCCTCCGTCTTGTTTTAAAAATGGCTGTTGGCATTCACTATTGTACCTCTCTCCTGACCTCCTCTGTACTTACTGACAATGATTTGAATCACATATTTCAAATTTGGATTCATCTCCACAGCCACACATTCAGATCTGTCTGATGAAGGCGTAGATGCATCTATCAGGTCCTGTGTCAGATTTTTATCTCTTATAAAATCTCTTTCTTCCTTTCTCCTCCACTTGTCCAAAAACCCTTAAAGCACACGCTGCACACTATGCCAAGATATGCCACAGTTTCTACTAATAGTGTTTTGCTAATGACTTTGCAGATGCAAAAATACAGGTTTTTTTGTGGGTGTTTTTTCATTATTGACTGATTTTTTTTGCAACAGGCTGCTAGTAACAAAGTCCCCAAAGTTATCATTTAAAATTGTTTCCTCGCTAAGTTGTCTGTTATGTTAGGTGCCTTTTTTTATGCTTGAATGAATCATAGGTCGGTGCTTAACAAACAAACATTCCTCTGAAAATGCTCAGGTACAAAGTCTAGACTGTTGATAAATGATAAACTTTGAAAAATCTTCAGAAATCCTGGAAAACTATTGCTCAAGAGCACTTTTAAAAGTTTAAAGAATGTTTGATTCGCTGGAAGATATAAAGAAATAAGAGAATGTGCAAGACTTTTGCATGGCACATAAAAACACTAAGACTCCAGACCAGCTATTTCCAAGTTAGAATTATGGTATTATTATTAATATTATTATTAAGCTACTATTATTGGTTATTACGAATCTTTAAAAGACTATTTTACCAGTTCATTTTTTCAATGTTTATGCATGTTTATGAGAGGTCTGAGTATTATACTCACCATTTATCACTGCAATGTTTAGCCCTGGTCCCACGTTATTCAGTGCATGACTCATTATGCTGTTGAAGCACTGACAGGGTTCAGTTTCACTGCAGAATCTTGTTTTTTTTTTTTAAAGTACTCTGTTAATTCAGGTGTTACCAAATGAATACATACATTTTGCCATCAAAACAGACTGTTGGCCCGACAATATCAGCGGCGCCGCTCCTGATACGTAAAGCAATATGGTTGGGTGGACACACTCTTGAGAGGCTGCACTTTGGCACAGACGTAGGTGGAGCTAAAAAGGCACAGAAAAGATTTTACAGCAGGAATACTGTGATTTTACCATATTTAAACTCAGATAATGACATGTGAGAAATAAATACTTTGTACAATGTTGCTAAAAAGACATTGTTTGAGATTCGCTTTGACTTGATCTGCGTTATAAAACCCTAAGTTGAAAGAAATGAGACAGTATGGTGGAGACAGCAGGCATAAACTGTCACTAAAAAGCTGTAGCTCCGGATTTAATAAGCAAAACATCTCACCGAGAGTATTCCTTTCTCTCTCCTGTGCTACGGATGAATTGATGGATATTCCCCATGTGATTAGGAGGACAATAATTACAGCAGCAAGGGGCAAAACAGCTGTCAACAGTAAAAAGATAGTAGATCAAATCTGCAGTCACACAACTAAAAGCAGCTGTTGCGAAATGAAGGAAAAGCTTACCTCGATATTTCATATCTGCAACAGATCAGAGAGCTTTTTTTTCAGTCCTGAGGGGAAGAGTTGAGACCTTTCAAACTCACCCGAAGAACTGAGAAAAGAAAGACATGCTAGCAGAGCTTTGGTGTCATCTCATCTGTGAAAACGCATCCTGATAATTCCTATAACCCATCACTTGTGGGGAAAACCCTTCTTTCTGTGATACATGTATATAGCTACTGAAAACTAGATGATTAAGTTTCTCCTTTTCACAATGTCAAACAAAGGAAGGTGTCCACAAGTAACAGATACTATTTGTAGTCAACAACAAGGCTTGCAAACAGCCGATTGTGTGTTGCAGGTGTATAAACAAGCCTCTGAAACCTAGAGAGAGAAAAGACACTGAGGATGGCCCAAAAGCCTCATATTTCAAATGGGATGAGTAAGAGAAAAAGGGATTTAAAGAATCATTGTACCAGCTGTCAGAGTTTTCCATTTGTATGTAAATTTGGGTAAAAACCCATATGATGTGTGGAAGGATCTGCATAAAGCAGCTCATACACAGAAAAAAAACATGCTAGAAACTAGAAAAGAAAAAAAATCAAAAGATTTTACTCAGAACTAAAAAATAACTATGGGAAAGGGCAAAGACAGCGTTGCTGAAAAGAAACATAGCAGAATCAAATGGGAAAGTAACTCACAAAACCTGGAAAGCTGACCACGGCGCAGAACGAGAAGTCAATTATCTAGAATAAAAAACACAACGACAGGGCAATAGAGCTGGTGTTTTTTAAGGCATTTAAGACAAACGCGTTGTTGGCACAGGAATAAGCCATTAGTCACATTTAGATGATGAAAGACGTGGTAATCCCCAAGGAGGAGGTCAAGCCTGTCTGTCACAAAGCATCTGCCCTGCTGATCCTTCAGCAGTAGCTGAGCTCAAGCCTTTCCTGCCTGGAGAGCTCGTAAACAAAAACAGCATCTCCTTGTATCATATTCTGGCAAATCGAGCGCACAGATGAACACAATGATCATTTTCTCTAACAGACTGATTTCGCTCTGCTGCCACGTGGATGGATACAGATCTTTACAACCTCGTCCAATAACAACAACCGGCACATCTATCATGGAGATAATACTATAGTCTCATTTTATGGGCTTTATTTCAAACTGCACTGTTTGCTACACTTTTATCTCGCCGTTTATTTCCTATTACACGTAGTGATCTGTTTTTATTTTTTGTTTAATTTTATTGAGCTCTTACACTCATCGAGCCATTTTATTTTATTGCCTTTAGTTTTTTTTCTAGCTACTCAATTTTGTTTTATTTTGTTGAGCTCTTTTCTGCTTGAGCTGTTTCCCCCTCATCAAGCTATTGTACCAATTTATCTAAAATGTTGCAAAGGTGTTGTTTTCCTCCAGGACAGCATCAGCATCAGATCTTCCCGGCATAAATTCCTCAAAACAGTATGAAGGGATGTACTCTTTTCTTCTAAATTTGTGTTTCGTTTTCTTCTTATGACAACAGTGTGAAGCACTTCTACAGATTCAGCAAAACAACCAAACAGACTTGTTGAGCTGAAAAATTACCAATTATTTTTCCATATTTGTAGCCAAATGAAGTTTAACAGATTTACTACTTAACTTTACATGATTTTACCACAGAATCATCAACTAAACTCCAATAAATGGATTTTGACTCCCTTGTACAAAGCATGGCTTTTGGATTAAAATCGTCTTGCCTTAACACCCTTGAATAAGACAGAAGGTATCACACAAGGAGCCTGGGATGTTGAAGAGTGCTGTTGTGTTTCTGCTTTGTTTGAACTCACCAACTGAATTCCTATCAGAACTTTTAAGATTGTTTAAAACCTTGAAAGGCTGAAGAATTACAAACAAAGCACAAAACTATTTAGTATCAAGGATTTCACATTATGTTCACACCAATTTCAGGTGACGATGGTGTATTACTAAAGGTGACCAGCAGGTGGTATTTGTGTACTGCCGTTTACTGATCAGCGGTAACACAAAGCACACAGTGAGGGAATCGCTTTCCTTTTGTATGATTATCGACATTCTGCAGACAGCAATCAAATGAACGCCGGCAATATTTTTCAACATTTGACTCCATAGCTCCTGGATTTTTTATTCCAGAGCTACATTTAATAAAACATTCCCTTTATATAAGGACACAAATCATCAAGGTAACAAACTGGGGGGAAAATAAGTACATACAGAGCACACTTAACCAGTCCACATGATTAATATGTTTAATAACCAGCAGATTTAGATCCCAGATGTCCACAAAATAAATAAAAAGATACAGTAGGTTTTATAAATACTGATCCACATCAACATCAGTAACTACACAGCAAAAGATGATTGGAAAACACAAGAATCGGGTCTCGGTGTCTGATTTGTTGATCACACGAATAACCTAAAATGAACCAGTCATTAGTTTGAGCTGTGACACTGACGTTCACGTCAGAATGTTCACTTGCAGCTCCCAACCAGGTAAGTGGCTTTTTTTCTATCTGTGACAAGTATGGCTGTCAGAGAGATCAGGGTACATCATTCAGCCCAGCGCTACATTAAAGACCCAGTGGACTAAACTGCAAATTGCCTTTAAGTGGAACGATGAAACAGCAAATCCTTTCAAACGGAAACTGCCCAACTGGCAGACAGCTGAAGTCCTATTTTGACTACCTTTGCACATCATTTGGGGTGTGCGAAACATCACATCTCCATGTGCAACTTTGTAACAACCTCTTAATTCATAGCATTGCACATTTACATGTTCTGTGGCAGACAGACAAACATTGAGCGAATGTGAGTGCGTCTGCCCTTTCAATGTCCCACTGACATTTATTGCACTGCCAGTAAATAATACAGGAAATAATGTTCCGCTTTAGATTTTATATTTCAGGTATAAATTTAAATTTAAAGTTAAATAGTGGAAATAATGGAGTAAATAGTGGAGTGTTGACTCTCCATATGATCAGCAGCATTAGCATCCAAATCACATACCCACAAGTCTTATCAAACGCATAGGTCTCAGAGCTCCATTCGTCCAAAAAACAACAACAAAATAAATGCAGCTGAAAGATGTGCAGATAGCTCAGTAGTTATCAGGCTTTCCAAAATAAAAGAATAATTTAAAAAGGCTGCATGAATTGCTGCTTTAATACACTGACCGTATCGCCAAATAACACATTCAATTTTGTTGACAATTCATTACGACTCTTATCTACCACAGCTAACACTGAATGTTTTGTTGGTTGTTTTATTGTAGCATATTTTAGCAGAATATTGATTGTGAGAAATAAGGATTAAATGAGTTTTATGCTGGAAAAAAAGAACACCTTTTTTAAGCCCTGAGCTGTGCCTGCGGGAACAACCTCCACCCATCAGAGGGTTGGGTAGTAGCCAAAGACATCAAATGTCATGTGTTATGTGTAAAAAAGGAAAAAAAAGAAAAGAAAATGTCAGTGATGATTCAAATGAAGGTCATTATTTCACATCTAAGAGTATGAAGCTGCACAAATAGAAATCACATTTAATCTCAGAATTACAGTTTAAGATATAACTGCAAATATGGAATACTATTTCCTCACTTATTTTATCTGTAATTGTATATTTTTGGTTTTCACATTCTTGGCTCACTTTTTATCCCCGCTACGAAAACAATCCTCCATTTCATTCGTACACCACACAGTTTATAGAATAAACTCCATTGCAGTCAGTCCAGCAGCTTCCCAGTTGGAGATTTATTCCAAAAGATCCTGTAAGGGGAGAGAAAAGGAAGTTGAAATTGACTTGTGATGTGATTAGGAAGGATACAGTGGTGCTGGCTTGTACTGGAAGAGAGATGACAGCGAAAGCTACAATCAGAGAAGCCACGATGCACTGACCTCGTCTGAATCCTCTCCCACTGTGCGCGACCTCCTGTCGCCATCCTCCTCTGCCGCTGCAGAATGCCCCTCCTCCATCTGTCTCAGCACTGAGTATCTGTAAGTTGCCTCACTGATAAGAAAGTTATGTGGCAAAACCAGGGTGAGTTGTTTTTACTGCAATCTAAGTGTTTAAAATAAACACGTTAAGGCTCATTAATAAATTTTCATTACTTGACTGGGAAGCAGTATTTTCGGATGATCAATACGGCAGCAGCTACCGCCACCGCAGACACCAAGATCACTGATGCAATAATCCCGGGGTGAAGCCTTAACCCGGCCTAAAAAGACAAATGAATCCAATAAGATCTAACAGTGGGGTAGTTAAAGAGCCCATAAACCTAACAGCTCAGTTCATGAAGTGTGGCAAAGATAAAAAGGAAATACAGCAGGAGATATGACAGCTGAACAGCGGTGCATTATAAATCATAGTGGTGGGGTACATCCCAAAAGCTCAGCAGCAGGGCTGCAAGTCTCTGGCCAAGAGGAGAAACTGATGCAATCCGGATGACATTTCGTCACATCGTACTGCAGATCACTATAATATCTTTAAGTCGGGCCTGTCCATTACATGATTTGGAACAAAGTATGACAAAATTAATCTCTGTAGCAATAATTCAGATGGAGCGTGACCAAAATGTGACATTGAACATGAACAATTTTGTTTGGTGGTGCCAAACAAAATCACAATCACAATCAACCAAACAGAGATGGGTGGGGTTTGATGGTTATGAAGCTCATTTTTTCTCTTTTGTTTACTACTGGCAGCATTTACACATGGAGACATGATAAAGGTATTAAAGTGCAAACTAAGCATTAGAACAGAGAAGATGATTTAAGCGACTTTGAATGTGGCGTGGTTGTTGGTGCCAGATGGGCCGGTCTGAGTATTTCACAAACTTCACCTACTGGGATTTTCCTACACCATCTCTAGAGTTTACAGAAAATGGCCTGAAAAAGAAAAAATATCCAGTGAGTGGCAGTTCTCTGGGAGAAAATGTCTTGTTGATGCCAGAGGTCAGAGGAGAATGGCCAGACTGCTTCGAGCTATTAGAAAGGCAGCAGTAACTCAAATAACCACTTGTTACGTTATGCAGAAGAGCCAGGTACCACTCCTGTCAGCTAAGAACAGGAAACCGAAGCTACAATTTTCACAGGTTACCCAAAAATGAACAATAGGAGATCTGAAAAATAATGCCTGCTCTGATGAGTCTTGATTTCTGCAGCAACATTCAGATCAGTATTTGATGTAAACATGAAAGCACGGCTCCATCCCGCCTTGCATCAACGGTTCAGGCTGGTGGCGGTGCTGTTGTAATGATGTGGGGGATACTTTCTCGGCACAGTTGTTGCTGACCATGCCCCTTCCTTTATGACTAAAGTGTACCAATGTTCTTATGGCTGCTTCCAGCAGGATAATGCAACATGTCACAAAGCTCAAATTATCTCAAATTCATGACAGTGACCAGATCACAATCCAACAAGCATCTTTGGGATGTGGTAGAATAGGATGAATCATAGATGTGCAGCAACTCTGTGATTATATCTTTTCAATAAGAACTACAATCTCTGAGGAACGGTTCCAGCTCTTTGTTGAATCTATGCAACAAAGAATTAAAGCAGCGGTGAAGGCAAAAATGGGGTTCAAGTCAGTACTGGCAATGTCTACATAATAAAACGCATGTGTAGATATGCAGTAATACACACACACTGGAACAGGAACCCTAACCCATCTGTGGTTCCAGATAAATTTGAAAAACAGCAACGTCTGCAACACAAAGATGACGAGGTGCACAGTAACACTGAGTGAATTCAGAGGGGTATAAATATGCTTTAGGAAATGGAGTACTGTTCCTCCAAAATGCATCAGTCTCAGTCATATATCAGCTTGTGCTTTTAGACTTCCAAGAAGTGCTTCAGGCTATTTCACTACAAGTCAACAAGCTGAGACCAGAGATACGAAAACTTAATCTCCATCTAAATTAAAGTAAGTCCACTGCACTATGGGTATAAATGGTTACATCGCCATAAATTAGGGACCGTGTTTGTAAACTAATTTAACTTTTAGCTCGAGTTTATCGGATCTCATTACTTATGCGGCCTTACATACCTGTTCAGACATCCTTGTTACCTTTAAAGCCCGGCTAACTTATTTTCATTATGCAGCCTCGAACTGTGAACATTATAGCCTGCAAGGATCCAAACTGAAGCGATTTAAAAGCATTTAAACGTTGTTGTTTTTTTTGGTCCGAGTATAGTCGTAAGATCTACAGCTGTTTACTTCCTGCTTCTGCTTTTTTCACCTGTTTCCCCGCCCCTGTTAAAGCACACCATGTGACATAAAGTTATGTGTCACGTGACCTTCCGATGGCCTATTTAAAACTTATTTTCAGACCTGTCGTTTTTGCTGCAAACGATCCGCTCTTAAAGTGTGATAGTACTTACAAATGGTGACGTATGTGTCTGATTACTTTAGAGAGGAAGTCAGTTTTAACTAATGATCCTTTGGCATGTTTTTTATTGGGTCCTGTACTATATAAAGCACTGAGATCATGCTTGAAATGCGAGACAGTTCCTTATGTAACATTCAGTGCCTTTTCGAGGCTGTCACACAGTTCCTGGGACCAGTTTTGTGAGTCATAAGCGCATTAAAATTCAGAAATGTTGATTTTTCTCTGTCCAAGGTCTTGTTTTGGCAGCTTGTAACTGTTAATTGGAAACAATACATTGTGAAATTGAACATTTGTCACTCTGCTATTGTTTCCTGAATTTCTACAAATAATAAAGCATTTCCCAGGATGTGATTTTCTTTTCTGCCATTTTTTTCTTCATGGTTAGGCAACAGTTTATATCAGGCTGAAAATAATGATTCAAGCTGGTATCAGGCGCTCATCAGGTGTGATGAGTGATTTGGCGAGACTGACGAAAAGACTTGCCAGCCTCATGAGCAACCCGCCTGTTGTACTCCCAGTTACAGTTGCAGGCCATGAGATCCTAATTTTGAAGATTTTTACATGCATTGAGTATATTAAAAAACAATCATCTTCCTTTATCCTTGTCCCAATTCTGTCAAATTACTCATTTTAAATCCAGATAAACACAAGAAATTCAAACCACTGCTATTTCAAATTTAATTTAATTCACATTACACATACGCACAGCATGGTTTTATGATTTTGTGACACCATAAATTATCTGTATTGTAACATGTAAAACTGAAATATCACAGATTCAATACGTTCTTTCAGGAAGCCCGATAAGAGTTTGCCAGCCAAGCTTCATGAACAGACTCTTTTTAGCATCACATGTGCGAATGAATAAGCAAGAACTTTCAAAAAGCAAGTATCTGTATTACATTCCCAGGCTCTTACAGGCTTACATGACACTACATATGGTGACACAAAGCTCCTGTTAGCTTCCACAAACGAACGGATAGACAGAAAGTGATTTTTTTCTGAATTGGGAATTCAATACCGATCAATAAGCTCAGCTGATAAATCCTGAAGCCATTCATCCACTTTCAATTTGATTTATTATTTTTGGCTCTAATTGACTTCAAGTTATGCCAGTTCATAGTACTTTCCTGTCTTTGGATCAAAATAGCAGTTCAGGCAAGGATCATAGAGCAGATTCAAATACTCATCCTCGTTCTCCTCTTCCTTCACTGACTCATCTCCTCCTGCAATAAAGCCAGAGAACCATTAAGCGGCACTGGGTATAGCTGTTCAAAAAGTACATAACTAACAGTACAACAGCGATCCATAATGGAATTTGCACAAATAAAATGTATAAGTGTAAGACATCATGTTTTTAATGCACACCGGAATAGCCATAGCAGATATGAATAAGAGCCTACTCTGTCAGCTGTTACTGGAATAAAATGAGAAGTCTGGATGGTGGGGTGACCTTCAGACTCAGGTGGATTTAAGTTTTCTGCCGCTGCCATTTTTTTCTTCATCAATCAAGACCCAAGACACCCAGGCCCAGTACCACATTATGAAGCTGTAAAGAGATTCCCTGTAATCCCCACGACTTTAAAGCATGAGAATTTAGCTGTTAAATTGACGGGCAGTTAAACACTAAAAAGGTTATGGAATGCTCCGGGACGAACATTTTATCTTATCAGAACTCGGGCAACAATAATGAAAACTAATTATAAGACACATTGTGTAAGAGCTTTAAAAATGATGTTGTAAACTGGAAAGGTTTCATCAATTAACCTTGTCCATGTGTCTAGGGGGTACAGACCTGTAATGAGCCTGTCTCTTGTGACCTTTGGCATAATGTGGAGGACACAGACCTTCACTCTTATTTTTTTTTTTTATTCTTAATTAGATACAGTTTCACCTGCTTTCCCACCATGTTGTGTGTAGTCTTTGGTGGATTTCTGTACCCTAACATTTCTGCAAGCTCTGACATCAGTGAATGTTTCCATTAGCTGTATCCATTTATGCCATTAGTGTTAATGCTACAGCACTGGATTGTTTTCTGTCTTCCTGACTTTCACATACAAAAAGGCAGTCTGCAGGCAAAGGGACTAATATGAAGGTTTCTGTACCTCTGACTAGACTTCCCCCATTGTTCCATGTGTTGCCTGACCTTCTCTGCTGGCTGGGAGGCATAATAGGAGGGCTGAGCACATCCATCCATTCCCTAGGGAAAAGACCATAAAAGCAGACAGACATGACAACACATACCATTACACTTACCAACCTACTCTATGACATTTTAACAATGAAGTCCCATCATCGTGGGTTCTGAGAAGCCCATCTAAGCTCCCACTGTCCTTGAGCCACTTCTCCTGCAGCTCCACAGTTTTACTTGAAGGATCACTTATTAGATTTTGACTCAAGCTGTGACTTCCAAGTGTCCACATTCGGGCACGGAGTAGGGGTCTTAACCTTGCCTGCTTCAGAGAGAGCATGACTTCATTTCTCTCTAAATGAGTTTATCCTCCCTGTCTGCGATGTACTCAGGCTACAACTATACATCAGTCATTTTCCACTAAATGAAAACACTGCTCTGTTTTAGTATGGCGTAACAGATTACAGCCAGAGGAGAAAATATCACAAGATGAATTCTTTTACTTGGAGGCAATGCAACATTCATTTGTTAAACAGCATCCATAATCATTTTTGGCTATACATCAGTTGTGCAATTATGCATTAACATCTTCTGCCTTTGGACAAAACCTCTCATGAGAACACATCATAGCATATTTAATGAGGAATTACAGTATAATCGTCTTATGCACAATATTCTCTGCTAAGCCCGCCTCACCATCATCAAGTGCAGCGATTGATAATGTCACTCTTTCTCAAAACAAAGTATTTTACCTAAACTAGAAAACCATTCATGCTATCTCTACAGTGTGATCCTTTACACCATGGTGTACTTAATACTACTACTTTTTATTTTCACTGGCTCTACTCTTGTGTCCATGTTTTTAATCAGAATCAGAATCAGAATCAGAATACTTTATTGATCCCTGGGGGAAATTATTTTTTGTTACAGTGCTCCATTTTAAACCATGGGAAATCTTTACTGGGAAATATTAAAATACAGAAATTACTTATGAGCAGTCCTCTTTAGTGATGTGGTCTTCTGATAATAGCTAATAAAAAAACCCTCCTATGATCAAGAGTAAATTATATGATACATTAAACCTACAGAAAGAAGGTTTCCTTTTTTATCTGATCTTCCCATACATTTAAGCGTACATTCATTTCATATTCTTTATGTCTTTAAGTGATAAAGTGCATTATCTCTGTTGAGGCTCTGATTTTTCTTTCTAACAAAAGCATCCGCCTCTTCTTTTCAACACCCATTTGACTGCGTGATAGGCAGGAACATTGTACAAAAGTTAATGGAAGCAATTTTCAAGGACAAAAGCCTCTGCTACTGAACTGTAAATTGAACTTCAAATTGTTAAGTGGGACTTGGCAAGAGTGATTAAACTCTTAGATTTTCAAGTCATTATAATCCAAATATAGACCAGAGATAAAGGGAATAAATTGGTTTTATTCAATTAGAGAAAGCACACTGCTTTTGCACAGTGGTTGAGTGTACTGAAAATGAGCTTTCTAAATATCTCAAAAAGAAACAGTATCAAGAAACTCTGTTTGTCTCACACGGTGGTAACAAAAGTTCACAATAGTATGTAATGTACAACTGTATTTCTAGTCAAAGTCTCACTGACAGCCTTATTTGCTGTTTCAACTTTAGCATTCTAGCCAAAGGCAGACACAATTATTACGTGCAAAGAAGCATGTTAAAATGCCAGAAAAGCCCTGGCAACATTAAGCACAGCAATCGGGGCATTTTAGCTGTCAGGGAAGCTGTTGCTCTCAACAGCAAGAAAGCCTTGCAGTGGTGCCAGGATGCTCAAAAAACACCATGATAGAATTCTCTGTAAGGGTGTCTCAGAATGCAATGCCTAAAAGAAATGAAAGAAAACAACGACAAATCCTGTGCAGCTGCTATTCAGTATGTAAATCGAGGCTTACTTCGAAGTCTCATTTCAGGACTACAGCTGTGGAAGCTGCAGAGCTCCGTCAGTGTTTGTGAACAGTAATATTAATTTCAGTGGTTATTCAATCAAACAGCATCGCTTAACTAGATATTTGCCAGTCGGCTGGATGGATAAATTTGAAATCTTTAAATCTGCATGATACAGTAATGCAAATACAAAGATTTCAGCTCAAGGAAGTCTACACATGTCCACACCATGCTACCTTGGTTTTCATCAACAAATCAAATGTGTTTGAGAGATGGGGGTTGCGTAATTTCAGTAGTGAAACCGTGATGCAATTCTTTTGTCTTCTTTTGTAACCTACAACATGGTTGTGTAACAGACCACATGGTTGTCTATATTCACAAAGAGATGGAGGTGTGCAGGGACGCGGCTCTATAACTGCCAGCTGTGGGGCTACAGGATTTCTCCAGAACCTTCCAAGGTGAACTGGATCTATTCGTACCCTGCTGCAGTTTGTTTTTTTGTGTTTTTTAGATGCATAAAAACACCTGAAAGAGAGTTTGAAATAATGGTATTCAGTGTTGTGAAGTGGGCAGTAATATCCTCCTAGTGTTAATCTGTTAAATTGAAAGTATTTGAGCTGTATTTCTGAGACTCTTTCACCTTGTGCTCTAAATCAACACACTGAATCTGTTCCAAGAGGTGTTTGACTCAAGCCTTAATTCTGAGCTATTTTCCCCTTCAAGGAACATTAGAAGAAAACACACACACACACACACACTTACACACACAAAAATGATGGTTATAGAAAACATTTTACTTCATCTTGCCTTGACAATGACAAATCCTATTTAACTTACGAGTACGAGAGGGGCATAATGACATAATGACAATCTGTAATTCTCAACACATGTCAAAGGATGTTTTCAGAAGTCTTTGAAAGCTTGCAAAATTTCTTTACCTTTACTTGATAAACCTCTGGTGGTTATTTACTTTTTTGGGGGGAGGGATGCGTTTCTCCAACTTCTAAAATATCTTTTCTGTTATTCTGTTTCACACTTCATAAGCCTTAAGTTGATACTGGATATAACACTTTTTTTTCTTTCGCCCTCAGCAATACAAAGCCATCCATCAATATTCTTTCTTTTTGAAGAGAATTTTATTTGGTTTTAAGCTGTAGGTAGGCAAAGCATGGTGGAACGTGTCTTATGGCTGTTTTGCATTATGAATTACTGAACCGAAGCCCCTGCTGTGCAGAAAATCTAACACGTGCATTTTGAATTCAGGTGAATCTGAAAGCTGATGTCTACTGTATAGCAAACAAACAAATGCTTTAACAACTTCTGACAAGTCTGACAAGCACAATGACACATCTTCGGACTGCTTTCTTTTACCTTTGCTCTGGGCAGCTAATCAGAGGCACCACTATCAGAAGGAAATGAACACGATCAAACTCTGAAAGCCCCACAGATGTATATCTTGTATATGAAATAATACCTTGAAGCCTCTATTTGGAGGGTGGGGATGGAACAGTACTATTCTCCTCTATTACCCTTATCAATTTTGTGTTACGAGAATAAAAGAACTGTACCTACCACACCTCCAGGTTATTTGCACTCATGTGAGTAAGGTTAGCCCCATTCAGAAAATCTACCTGACAGCTGACATTTAGCAACAAATATTGCACTGACTCATAACCATCCAATCTAGATGATGGAGCCAATTATAAATAGAGGCTTGAAGGTACACACCAGCAGGACTTTAAAAATTATATTCTACTTGCCGAAGTTATCAACAATTTAAAATATGTGTCCATTCATTTTAAATAAAGGGTCTCTTAACCCTCTCAAGGCAGGCGTTGCCGATTTGCAACAGTTAAAAACTAACAACCTGATTACCCCACATACATATTTTATGAGTTTTTTTTTACTCAGAAGTACCACTGCAGAACTTGGTTGTGCATTAGCAACAAAAAGTTTAATTTGAGCCTGAGAGGGTTAATAGTCAGACTTCCATGTATAATACACTGGAATGCTAAAAAATAATGTGTAAAAAAAAAAATAGTGTGTGTAATAACACACACTTCTTACCTGGGGTTTGATTGCAGGAAGGGGTTCATTTCCGTCTGATAGTGGTGTCCCTGATTAGTTGGCTAGAGCAGAAGTAGAGGAAAGCTGTGTTAAAATGTCACCAGATGCTCCAATGCAAATCATTTTTCCCAAGAATTCTCATTAGGTTCAGTTGAAAAGACCACCAAGTACTCGATTAAGGCGCAAAAAGGAAAAAGATTTACTTGTGCAGCACATCAAAATCGAAAATATTTTTTGGTTCAGAGTGACCTGTTTCATTCAGTAAGACAGTAATGAAGGTCGCCGCCATTTGACTCCTTTTTAAGCCCAGTCGCCCTGTCTCTCTATGAAAATTGTGCCACAACACTTACCTGTAACTGATAAGTGTCACTGGGCCTTTTGCTACTGTTGTGCACATCGTGTCGTTGAGTCAAAGGCAACTGCTGCAATGTGCTTTGATATTTCACTACTTTTGCAATACAGGTTGAGTCCTTCAGGATCAAGAGATAAATTTATAATTTTTCCTGTGCAGATTCATGAATTAATGCATTTAATGCAGTCTTGCCAGAGAATTAAACTGTGCCATGTCGTGCTGTGAGGTGTCACTCAGATATAAATAAAGCATGAGGAGCAACATTTTGTGGAGACACAGCTGTTCAGGACATCCACAAAGTTGCCCGTTCAAGGCTCCCTGAAATTACACATAAAGAACATCACCTGAGAAAATTAAGCTAAGTGAACATTTTTCTTTGTTAACAAAAGCTTTAGTCCAACCACAAATTAGCCTTTACTCTTCTTCTTCTTTTTCTTCTTTACAAATTAACAGTTGATGAAAATCCTTGTACTGCAAAAACCTAATTCTATGTTTTGTGCCTTGGCATAAAAATCAAGTATGACAAATCTGAGCAGCAAGGAACAGGAGGGATGGGTGAGCAATAAAGGGTGAACAAACCGTGATCAAGTAATCCGTGGAATCTAATAATGTGTTCAAAACTTTAGATGTCCCTATACTCTGTAAGTATGAAGGACCTAAAGCATAGGTAGAATTACAGGTAGAAGACAGCAATGATTTCCTTTTTAATATATACTCATTTTCAGCTGCATGAAACACAAGCACATTACCCTCTCCATCTTGTCAAAGTTAAAGACCATATTATAGCCTCAGGAGGATTTTTAAGCGTAGTGGCTGTTAAAGGCTATTACATTACATGACTTTGATGAAGAAGCACTCATGTTGAAGCTGCAGTCCTTACAGTTCTTGAGTTTATTTTAGCTATCTGTATGCTTCTGTACCTTCTTTATCTAATCACCTTCTTAGAATAAGACAGGACCTAAAATTGCAGCCTGTGGAATTCTGCTGGTAATATGGACCGAGGATGATGATGATGATGAGTTACTTGCCTGTCAAGGGATGGAGAAACTCTGGGGATCTAGGAAATAGCAACCATTTCTATATTCAAACTGTAACATTAAACCCAGTACCTCACATGGTCGATCGCACCTGCATGAACTCCAGTTTCAAAGAGAGCACTAAGTACATCTGCTGCCAACAGAAGTGCATCACTTATTTTGAACAAACATCACCTCGTGACCAAACAGCAAAATGTGGTGAGGATGTTCAATATAGCAGCGCTGGCTGTCAGTAGCTTGGGAGTCAATGTGATGACTTGCCTGGCACACTATCTGCTGTGTGTCTGCGAAGCCCACACACTTCTCATTTGCTCTTGGAGCTGACATCTATAATGTTTGTATTGTCTCCCTGGTGGAAACACCTTGGACTTTATTGACTCTTCCCTTTATATATCAACCATTATACATCCTTTATTCCCCTGTATGCCAGATCAAACAATCAGAAATCTAAAGAGCTTCACATGTATCTGATCGACATAGTCTTAGGTTCTGATTTCTGTTTCTGCAACTATCTATTAGGAAAATATTAAAACAGAGCAGTGCATGTAAAGTGTTTGTTTGGAAACTTATGCTGCACAAACCTATTTGGCAGAGAGGTCGAGTCAACAAATGATAGATAATTTATTTCCATAGCTTTCTGCTTTTTTTAACCAGGTATTTTCTTTGAGACAAATGAATGGTGGCTGAATTCCCCTCAAGTGGCTATTTTCTATTATTTATTTCCACTTTACATCTGCCCATGAAAAATTACAGACTGGGTTGTATTACAAAACTAAATCTCAGACCTCTCACTCTTCATTCCAATATTGTATGGAAGCCCCAAACGCAATTTCATTGTTCTTGACAATGACAATAAATAAATACTAATTTTTGTAATAACACATATAATAATAATAAACTCCATTAAATTTAAAGACCCCGTCCTAAGAAAATCAAATATTTAGGCCTAGACTTGTGTCCATAATGTATTTTTTATTTGGTAGAAGACACATCATGAGAAAAACAAGCAGTTTTTCTCACGATGAAGGTTTTTACCAGTGTTGTTCCAACATTCAGATAGTCAGGATTTTTGTATGTAACAATGCTAAGAAACCAAACCCATCAACTACGAGGTGGAAGTAGCTGGTCAGAGATGAGAGAGATCAACAGTGTTTATGTGTCATTAACAAAGCATTATTATCTGTTTGCCAAAGCAGAGCAGTCAAATTTACAAATTAATCCCAGCGGCTTCCTCTCCTGCTTAACAAAGCACACACTTTGACAGCGTGATGCACCGCTGAGTCTCCCTCAGTGCAGCAGGAGAACTTGTGAGTGAGTGGCACTCTGAGACGCTGAGTGAGGGGTGGCTGCAGGACTGTGGCGGGGTCTGGATAATAATCCAACATATAACTGCAGATTGATCGTTTGATTTAGTAAAATCATTAAAAAGAAAACATTTGGCACTTCGATTTATTGTAGATTTCACAGTCACATAATCATTAAATCACTTTAACTTTTTAATTACCAACTTCCCATTAATTAAAGTGATATGGCTAAATGTTTTTTAAATCTTTAATTCCATCGTGAGATGTGTTTGACAGGGTAACTTTATGTTGAAGACAATTTTGATGCCAGAATTTCAAATTAGTCAATTTTCTTTATCAAATAAAAAAAAAAAAAAAAATCACTCTTCAGGTTAAATTACTAAAAACACTGCTTACATTTTTTTTTGTCTCAGTCTCCCACTTGTACAGCAATTATCAGATTTGCAAATGTATCATTTTTATTCTAAAATGACACTGCTGTAGCCATGTGTCCACAAAGAATATGTTTCACATCTAGGACAACATACCACTGTGTCAGAAATCTAATTCGTCACATTTAATCTATAATGTACATTTTTTTATGGAGATTATACAATTTTATATGCCACTGGCTCTTCCCTTGATGTAACCTTTGCAAATCTACAGCCTCTTTTGATGCATTTCCAAAATCTCTCATCAAAAGTAAGCTTAGTTTAAAGTGATAAAACTAAGTGCATGCTATTCACGAGGTCACCACAAAGTAACCAGCGTACTCCCCCCATGGTCATAAAACTGAATCTGTTAGTGTTTCTAAATACGTAGGATGCTTACTGGATCCCAGACAACTTAGAAAATGAAAGAGAAATTTATTTTACTTTTTTTATACAGAAAAAACTATTTTTTATGAGATTATTTTACAGTGGCTCATATGCATGTTTGCTTAACCACAGTGTGTTGTGATCTATCACAGGTCATTCTTTGTGGGATACTCATCCTTAACAAACAGGGAGAGAGCAAGACTGTATGCCGTTTATTTACAAGGCTCTTCTACAAAGATTGCCTTGTTCAGAGCTTAAATTTAAATACAGTACTTAGAATATCAGGTCATAGGACATTCTAACAGCTGTACTTGGATTTAAATACTGTGCTGCCTACAAATAGGAATGAGCTACCAAAAAAATATGAAACTACAATTATTTATCTGCCATTATTCTTGCACCCTTTTCTTTATTTCTTTACATGTAAGACTCTTTATTGAAGAATTAAATAATAACACTTTTTTATATAATATATTTTTTTGTAGTGTTTTGTTTTCAACATTGTAATGGAAGCTTAGCACACGTTTGTCTGGAGGTTAAGTTTAGTCTGCACTGCCATAAATCACAGCAGCAGAAACCACTTGAATCACAACATCCAGGGTCCAGAGATGGATTATCATTGCCAATGGAGGAGTCCCAGCCCCAGACAATGACTATTTAGGTCTTGAAATCACTTAGTGTCTTTTTTTTTAGAGAAATCTATCCTTTTGATGGAAGTTTTAGGTGTTAGATTCACTAAAATGTTATATCTCCATTTCTCTTCATTTGTGGTCTGTTTAATGTGTGGTATCTTTCTTTATCTTCCTCACTTTCACGTTATCAGCAAAGTGTTTTCTTACAATACTGTTGGTGGTGCTGTTGCCATACATTACAATTATAAACACAACAGCTAATTGAAAAAAAAGAAAGATAGAAAGAAAAAAAAACATAACTTCAGGGCATGATAGAGTAAAATGTAAATCCTAAAGTGGGGTCTAAAGATACATGTCTTTATTGGTGGCCACATAATTGTGTCCTCAATAGAAACAATGAGGTGGTAATCCCTGAGGTAATAGCACTATTCATTGTGTCCTTAAATCTTAGGACATTAATGGATACCTGAATATACAGAAATGGTAACAGGCGTATAACTCAAGAATTTGTAATGATTTTATTCACTGGGGATCCTACAGTGGACTCAGCAGAGCCAGGCATGATAGTGTTATCTCTCCATAAGTGAAACATACTTTTGTTAATGGACCATAGATCTAAATGACCTTCAATAGCCGAGAGAAAACTGCACCATCTTTAAATTCTAAAAAGATCTCTGGGGAAATTTTCAAATGACCTAAATAATTTTTAGTCACTGAGGGACCTGTGGATATTGCGCCAGTGTATATTTAAAAACTGGAAGAGGCCAATTAATGTATTTCTATCTCAATAACCTTTTATAATGCAAAAACATACTGGTGGAAGAGGTGCATTAGCACTTCATGGTGGTGTAAGTTGGGGTTTGAAATGGAAATGAGCAAGAATGAGGATCAACCCGGGTCACACAAAATATTCGAGACAGGAGGACAAAAAGAGGAACAACGTGCTAATGATTGTAAGTGGTAGATGAGCTGCACATGTGCTGCTTGTTAGTGAAGAGTCAATAAAATATGAAGAGTAGCAAAGCTGGACAATACAGACCAGAGAGATGTGGGTCCATGTAGAAGTATCGTCACTGCTCATGCCGATGCTGACATTACACCGGTGGATCTGAGATGCACTGAGGCCCGAGGCTTTACATTCATCTTCCTCTTGCTCTCTTTTTAGGCTAGCCAGCATTCGAAGCTCCTCATCATCTTGTGTCTGCGGACTGCCGAGCAGGTCCGAGTCGCAATGACTGGAATCAACAGGCTTTAGTGTCTCATCTTCTTCCTCCTTCAAATTTATCACCAATAAAACGGAGATTACCTTTTTGGGAGCAATCCACAATACAATACCTTGCACTTAGTCACAGTCAGATATACACACTGATATAATGTTTTGTGCAGACAAATAAAGTACTGAAAGTCTTAACAATAAGCTTTAGTCCCAGATAGAGCTCAAGGCAATTCTGGACATACGCCATTGTTTTGACCCACTGAGGAAATGTCTTTTAACTGTGGATCTATTGATTTAGCAGACTATGGTAACAGGATTTTTCTGACAAAGTGTAAGGAAGTCTTGTGATACCCTGGTGACGAATCAATAGCAGTCAATAAACCAAGGCTGCAGGGAGGGAAACAAACTCCTTGTCATATTCATCAGACAATCTTTCAGTCAAAGCCTTCACTGCATGTTGCCTGCTGTAGTTGGCACAAATCAGCAGTCAGGAGCTACACTGATGAAGGAAACTGGGATATCACTCAGCAGCAAGTTGTGTAAATGCAGAAAGCAACCATCAAGTGACAGATCTCCCTTCAGGCCTTGTGATCGCTTCAGTTGACTATCCTCTGATCCTGGATCGTTTCAACTGGTGCTGGGGCCTACCTCAATTTGTAACAGACCATAGACTGATCCGGCAAACCTTTTCCCCAGCTCTTTTTAGCTGTCCAAATCAGCAGTGATCACACATTACTATGAGTAAAGAGAGACAGCTGGGTGTACGAACATCAAAGTTTTTAATAAGCTGCACATTTGCCACAAGGACTCCAAACCCCCACTTGCACATCACAGTTAGAGCTCAGCACCTTTATGACTGCATACTAAAAGAATTGAGTTAACCCATCTACCAAAGATGGAATTTAATCAAAATAATTTTCATTAAACCATGCTGCATTAATCAATTTTCAAGGGGGTAAAACATATAAACATTAGCCCTCATTTCTATTCTGCTGTGGACTCCAACAACTTCAGACAAACATGTCTGGTTGTTTGAGCTAGCCTGCTCAGTCTCAACTTTTTTTCTTTTTTGCCACTTGATAACTTTGTGTTTTTGATGTTTGGTCCTAGACAAATATTGTGTAGTGGACTCATCAAAGCTTTTTTAGTGGAAACAGTTGCCTACGGGGCTTGTTGTGAGTGACTCAGACTCAGGCTCAGACAATAAGACTGCAAATTTGCAGTGCATGAAACCAAAAAATGTGCTTGAATGAGTCCAAAAGCTCTGTAATGCTGCAATTTTAATTCTCTAATTTTGAGCTATGGGCATCCCCTTACCCCACTCATTTTCAGCAAATAATTGAATTGAAACAATAAAATTAAAGATCTTAAAGTAAATATAAAAAATATGAATAAAACAAATATTAACTTTTTCTTTTCAATGCAAATGAACACGATTTTTCATGGGTTGTAAAGTGTGTCTTCACTGGTCAGTGTGACATCTTAATGAGCATGCCATCCTGGGTGTTGACACAATAAGAGGTGATCTGAATCTCTTTTTTTTTTCAGCAATAAATTTGAGCACTATTCAGCTATGAGTAACTATCACAAAAATACTGAGCCATGATACCGGGTGAGAGCTGATGGTTGTTAAAATTGTAACCCCTACCTTGTGCTGTTTTGAATCATCCAATTTGACTTCTTGCAGGAGTCTTCTACAAACTGATATGCTGCTGCTCACATCAAGAACCCGGTTTACTTTCTCTGAAACTCTTGGACCACGCTTCTGTTCCAGTCCATTAGGTGAGAAGCACCGTGTGGGAAACAGCCCAGGTTCAGCTTTCCCACTGGAATGAGGCTGCATACTGGTGTTACGTGGAGGTGTTAGGTTCACATTATGAGATCCAGGGTGACCTTCAAGTTGTGTTCTGGGAGATGTAAGATTGGACCCACTTGTTTGTTGATGTTGGAACATGGTGAAGTTGTTATCCTGAAAGAAATACAAGGACACCATTGGGAAATAAAATTATTCAATTCTATCCATTAGTTGATTAATGTTTCTGTCGTGCTCTCGTTTGGTGTTTGAGCTTTAAATTAACCTCACATTTATAATAGCATTTTCTTCTTATCTGCTAATCTCTCACACCTTCAGATTTAGCGCTGCAACTCGGTATTGTAGTTTCAAACCCACATCCTACTGTACCAAAGAGATTATATAAGATACTGCATATGCAAGAACTACACTGGTCGTCTCAGCATTAAAAGGAATACTCAACACAAAGAGATCTGCATATCACACATTTAAGTCTGTATTCTTGAAAGAGACCTGATCCTTTGCAGTTCGTTTCCACATTGAGATTACAATCTGGATTCATACCAGCAAAAATGAAGAAAAAAAAAAAACCTTGGTGCTGCAGTGGTTAGCACTGTTGCCTCACCATAAGAAGGTTGTAGCGCGTGGCGAACACTAAAGCGGTCGCGCCAGAATGTCACGCTAAAAAGAAAGATTCTTTAAAATACAAGGGGGAGCAAGCAAGTCAGATACCACGGGCACAGAGAGGAATGCAGGTCTGATCAGAAACAGTTTATTACTAGGCCAGGGAGCACAAATAAAACACCCTTAAAATGTACATAATAAAATGTTCGCTCTCTACTAAAAACAATTCTAAAACCCGTAAAACTACCATTTTCTACATTCACTAAACCCCCCCCAATTATAGCAGGGGGCTATAATTAGGCCACATGTTCATTATGGGTCCATCAGCAGGCCAGGAATTCCTCCTTTAGAGCAGAGTCCACGCCAGCTCCGTCTTCAGCAGACAAGAAAGAGCCACCCATCTTCTTGTCCTTCCGCTGGCCCATCACTTCCCAGCCCGGCTTGCATTCTGCACCTGAATCCATGATGCGACCACCACCACAGCTCCCCTTGCGTCGGTGTCAAATGCAGGCAGAGGTAAACCTCTGCCCTGCTGCCAATCACACGCGTTGTCTCTTACTGTTGCCGCTCCATGAGGTCAGGACTTGGTCGCCGCATTAACCTTCCAGTCTGGGGCCTCTCTCCTTCAGTGCTCAGCTAGCCTGTATTTAAAAGGTCTTTACACAGCTGATAGGCCACCTCTGGACACACCCCTGCCTCAGCAGGTGGTCCCTATCAGCTAATTTGTCCCATGTGCAGCCAGTCCACAGTGGATAAAAACCATGTCACATAAAACACTAAAAACCATGCAATAGAAACAGAATAAAACCATGCAAACAAAACAACACTCATAAATAAACACTAAAAATCTGAATAAAAACAATATACAAGATAAATACAAATTTCCACTGTGTGACAAGGTCCTAGGTCAGGGGTGGGCAATTCCAGGCCTCGAGGGCCGGTGTCCCTGCAGGTTTTAGATCTCACCTTGGGTCAACACACCTGAATCACATGATTAGTTCGTTACCAGGCCTCTGGAGAATTTCAGGACATGTTGAGGAGCTAATTTAGCCATTTCAATCAGCTGTGTTGGTTCAAGGACACATATAAAACCTGCAGGGACACCAGCCCTCGAGGCCTCGAGTTGCCCACCCCTGTCCTAGGTTAATACTGACCAGCCAGATGGGGTCTTTATGTGCAAAGTTTGCATGTTTTCCCTGTACTTACTTGTAGGTTCCCTCTGGCTTTCTTTCACAGTTCAAAGACATGCTTGGGGGTAGGTTAGGTTAATTACTGATGTGTTAGCCCTGCGATAGACTGGTGACCTTTCCAGGGTGTACCCTGCCTTTTGCTCTGTGACAGCTGGGAAAGGCTTCAGTTAAGTAATCAGTTAAGTGGAAGAAAATGGATGGATAAAAATAAAACCGTTGACCATCCTGAACCAAGGTAAGTAAGTGTAATCAACACAGATGTAAAAAGCTAACTACATCATCCAGATGCTGGCACTGTGTATTTAGCTTTTGGAACATACATGCAGTACTGTATGTGCAGACAGAGAATAAGGGAGTTCTACTCATATGAAGTTGTTCTTTTACTCTAAATCTGGATCAAACTTAGAACTCATCGCAACAGTTATAAAAAAAAATATGACAATAGTAAAAAAAACTAAAATTACAAATCACTTGCATTAAATACCTCACCCTGAAAAATAGATGTATCGCACTCATTTTAATAAATGCTGCTCCTAATGGAATTGAAAGATTAAGTATTTAAAACAAGATGCTGTTTACTATCCTCTCACTTTTCACATCAGCCATTGCCAGTTCTTCATACAATAGAAAGAATCACAGTTGTGGCATACTCACAACCAGATTGTTATCACAAAAACATTTCTTTGTTCATAATGTAGTCTTTGTTTCTCATGAATTTAAGAGCTCGAAGCTTTCCTTGGGCCTTGGAGATCAATATTTTTTCCTTATGCTGTCTGTTTTTTTTGGTGTTTTCTTTCATCTCTGAGCTTTGTTGTGGGGTGAAAGGTTATCACAAGCCCCTTGAGGTTTGTAGCTTACCGGCTCTATATGTTATTTGTTTTCCCTCATTTTTCAACACTTTATCAATTTTTTACATTCAGGTGAATAAACAATATGTATTACTGAAATCCTGATACGGGTGCTTTTATGAGCCTGAATGCATTTTAATGAACTAATTCACGGTCCATTGGCTTAGGTACTGCATTTAAAAAACTGCACTTCCCTGAAAATATTGGAAAAAAAAAAAGATAAACGAGGTTTTAATGTATTTCAAAGTAGTTTATACAATCAAAGTTCATTTCTTTATTTTGCTTTTAATATTTCTCTATGTTTAAGAGCAAATGCTTGCTCAAAAGAATTGTATGAAGCTGACGCAACACCTTGAAAGATGATATTGCTCCAAGTTGAGAAATGAACAACCTGACACAAATAAATCAAAACCAGGTTTTATATGCAAATCTTATTATTCCATTACATCAATATATGTACAAAACTGAAATCTCTGTCTAAATTTTCATTTTTTTTCCTAAGTATAAGGAAAAATAATGTTCTTTTAAATGTCTTTAGAGCAAAATTATTATTTACACAAACACACAATCTGCAATACCTGTCCAAAACAAAACAACACTTTAGAAAAACATATACATGACTTATTTAGTTTAATATCTTGCTGTAAATTTATTTCATGATAGCAACTGAGTTGTGTTTTAAAAACGAATGCTGGTATCAGAATCTACAAATATAGATAACAAAAGCTTACTACACAAATCCAGTGTCTGTCTGCAAACCCCTCCTACACAATTAGGAGTTGGGCAAACAAGCTTGGCACACAGGTACATCTTAGACACCTGAAAGTTCTTATCTATATATCATATATTGTTTGATCCTATATTGATGTCATGATGTTGCCTAGCAACCACCCACCTACAGCCTAAAATGACCCATCTGTAGCATCTATGGACCTTTAACGCCTTATAAAAAGGATTATATTATCTTAATTTTCACAACAATAACAATAATTTAATGACTAATTATTCATATTATCAGTCTGTCATGTTGCCTAGCAACCACCTAATAGCTACCTAAAATCACAGACCAAACAATACTGTAGCACAGTTATGTGTTAATATAAAGATTCCAGTTTTTTTCACCAGATAGGTGTTCGCAAGACATTTATTTTCAGTTCCTTTGAAACCCAAACATTATGTTCCAATTTTTTATTTTATAATTTTGTTTAACTTTTATTGGTTTATATCTGTGGAAAATCGAAGATACAGGAAACATGCTATTAGCCAAATCATATGTCACAGGTTCAAGGCTCACTAGAGCGAACTCCCGGCATATCGTTTTCAACCCCCCCACGGGCTACTCGTGTTAAACATGATATATAAGTCACTTAGATAACTTAAAAATGTTATTGTTTGGCTTTTTTCAGTGTTTTATTTGTTTGTGAGTAAATCAGTTTTGCTGCGATTACAGCTGAATAAACATCAAACGGAAAACTGATTAAACAAAAGTGTGAGATGATCCTGTGAAGACCGACCCAGTGAAAATTTAGGCAGTGGTGGACCGGACCGGCCAACCCCCACCTCTTGTAATCACCTCCAACGGTTCCTCGGTTTTGCAAATTTTTACTGGAGGTTCATTCACAACAACAACCAGGTAGTTGCACACCTAACACGCCTTACCTCCACTAAAATATACTTTCTCTAGTCCTCAGAAGCTGAAGCTGTCTTTGTCTAACTAAAGAAGCTGTTCACATCACCACCTGTTCTTGTCCATCCTGACACCAAGCTGCAGTTTACTGTGGAGGTAGATGCATCTGACTCGGGGGTTGTGGGCAGTACTCTCTCAATGCTCCAGTCCACAAGGCAAGCTGCAGCCCTGTGCCTTCTTCTCACACCAGCTAATTCCAACTGAACAGAACTACGATGGCATTGGTTAGAGGGGGCCGAACAGCCTTTTGTCATCTGGACAGATCACAAGAACCTGACATACCTAAGGAGTACTAAACGACTCAATGCTCGCCAGGCTCACTGGTCTTTATTTCTAAGTTGCTCTAACTTCACTATTTTCTATGGTACTTGATGTTCCATAGAAAATAGTTCCATAGAAAAAAGCCAGACGCCCTTCACACTGCCTGGTTCAACTGTCACCCTGGGGTGAGTAGAACTATATTGTTCCTCAAGCGTTACTTGTGGTGTGAATCATTGGAAAGGGATGTAAATGATTATGTGGCAGCATGTTCTAGCTGTGTTTGTAGTAAGAGTAACACTCAATGCCCTTTGGGTCTGCTGCAATGTTTACCTACACCTCATCGCGCTTGGTCCTACATAGCACTACACCTTTTTATGGGTGGATAGGTTTTCCAAGGCTGTTCACTTCACCAGTCTCGAGAAATTAACCACTGCCACTGAAACTGCAAAATTACTGACCCATCATGTTTTCAGGCTTCATGGGATCTCTACAAAAATTGTTTCTGACCAGGGCTCCCAGTTAATTTCCCAAGTATGGAAGACCTTTTGTTTTGCACTCTCAGCCAAG